TCTTCAAAATCTTTGTTTAAGAAAAACCAGAGGAAACCTAAGAAAACCAGAGAATAGAAGGATACTACAGATATGTTGCCTTGATGACAACCAGAGAAAACCTGCGTAATAGAAGGATTCTACAAATATGTTGCCTTGATTATGGTGCGATGATTGCGTCAGTAAAATCTCTAACTGAAATATAAGTGATCCCAAAATTCCACGTCTAAATAAGGTAGATTACCACAGAAAGGTGTCTAATTTAAACAAATTTATATTTTTCGTAGCTAAAACGTGTTTAGATCGGGTAAATACCAAAATTGAGACATTTTTGGTAATAAGGTTTCAAATAGTGTATAGAAACGAAAAAATCCCTTCAATTTTTGAGCTCTAAAACAATTCCTTTAGCCCCTAGGCTTGAACCAACCTTATCTAGGACTTCCAACATCGACTGCTCCATGCCTCCATCTCAAGTAAACAACACACACACTCTTTTTCTCTGTGACTAAAAAGCTTAAATACGAGACTTTTTTGTTTACGGGTATCTTCAATCCTGGTCAAAGAATTTGCTCTGACCATTTAGTTATTGTTTGATTTTCATAGTATTACACATAGTAAATGAAATTTGTTATCCTAAATTTAATTTGTCAAAATGGCTACAAACATATTCCTTTTAAATTTGTAATTCATAACATTTGACCCCTATGTAGAATGTCAAAAATCTCATATATTTGGATAATTCAAATATATTCTAAAGTGAAAAATCGCTTATCTCACTTATGGTGTTCAATTTTTGAGCTATAATACAATTCCTTTGTGCCCTTAGTTCTTAACCAGCCTTGTTGAGGAGATTAAGAGGGTGTTTGGCTAAGCTTATAAGTTGGTCAAACTGGCTTATAAGCACTTTTTGGCTTATCTACGTGTTTGGTAAAATTAAAGGTGCTTATAAGTCAAGTGCTTATAAGCCAAAAATAAGCCAAAAGCCATAAGTTGGTCTCCCCCAACTTATCAAATTTCAGCTTATAAGCACTTTAGGTTTGACCAAAATATTTACTATTTTATCCCTAAAATAATTCTTTTCAAAACAGAACTCCTCGTATAATTTTACTCTCTCCGGTTCTTCAAAAACCTAAAAAGCATGTGCCTCTGCAATTCTTCAGATTTCTGTCGGCAATTTGAGGTTACGAAATTCACTTGTCTTCTTATTATACCTATGTGACTTTATTAACTGTTATCCTCAAGTAAGAGATTCCTACTCTTTTAGTTGTATATTTTTACGTGGACTTGGTACAACAAATAGTTGTATAAAAACAAAAGAGTGTTGTACAAGGTTAATTTGAATGCTTTCTCTTATTTCTTTTTGAGGTACAGTTTGAATGCATTCTTGTGTACTTCTCTCGTTGAAAGTCATCACTATTTCTTAACTTTTGTTAATTTATACTCCACCTGTTCTAATTTATGATTGTATACTTATCATAACATAAATTATATTTATAAAAAAAGATATTATTTAATTATTTTTATAATTAAAATAACATGATAAATAGGTTATTTTGTATTTGAATCTATTTAGAATAAAAAATTTTGTAGAAAATCACGTTTTTAGTAGTATAAATTGTTATAAGGTCATTTAAGTTATTTTAATATAAAAAGAGCTTATCAGCACTTTTTAATCAAGCAGTTTCAGCTCCTTATTATTAATTTCAGCACCTTTATCCAAACATGTAATTGCTTATTTATTAAATCAGTTTCAGCACTTAAAAGTGCTTTTCAGCACCTAATGCTTATCAGCTATTATATATCAGCTAAGCCAAACGGGCTCTAAAACTTTCAATATCACTTCTCCACTTCAGGTAAATACACACACATAAACGCACATTTCTGTGACTAAAAGTTTAAACCCAAGAGTTTTTTGTTCATGAGTATCTTTAGTCCTAATCAAAGAAGAGCAAATATCATTCATAGCCACTCGGGCCAAACCTATAACATCTAGTAGCCCAAAATTGCAATACACATTTAATAGCCCAAAAGTAATTCTAGTGGCTAGCCCAAAAGTACTGCTTTCTGGCTTTCTGATCTTCCAATTGAAGCTCCAGCTCCCTTTCCTCTCTCTTCCTCCTCCTCCGCCATTTCTCGGAATTAGACCTACCTTCGGAAGGCGGTTCAATTATATAAATTTGTTCGACAAAGAATGAATAAACCTTCTTGTAATTTTCTACAACGAAATTAAATAAGATAATGTCTAAAACATCTTTGCTCAACTTTGTCTTAATGCTTCAAAGTCACAAAAGTATTTTTCTATGACAAAAAAATATTTAGTTATTTTTTTACTGCAAAAAGTTATTTAATGCATTTCAATGTGATTCTTAGGTAAATTTGTTACTTCTACATTATAAAAAATAATTTAATAATATATTTTAAAATTTTAATACGGTACTAAAACACTTATTTTTGGGGTAATTTGACTAAATGACCTTGCAAATTTACAAAGAAAGGATATACCAACTGTAAATGAATGTTTAGGTGGCTGCATAAAAATATATGTCTTAAGCTCACTTATTTTTATTTTTTTTGGGTTAAAACTATAAAGTATTATCATAGACAACTAAAGAGCACGGTAGAGAATTTAACCACCTTCTAAGAAGGGTGTTAACATCCGCAAAGCCCCAGACGGGAAGAAACACGTATTTCCAGGAATTCAAGGGCTGTTGATTTTGTTTTAAAAGTGGAAAAGAAAAATCATTGGCTAAAGAGAGAGAGAGGCAACCCACCTTTGAATAAAAATCCCAAGCTCTCTGTTATTGCCTCATTCTTTTTCTGGGCTAACTTTCTTTGCTAGGGAAATCCTTTGGTTTTCACCAAACAAATTTCCTTTTCCACATGTATGTCATTAGTTGATTTTGATGGGAATCATAATTCCAGGCCCACCATTAGTATATATTTACATGGATATTTATGTATTTCTTTCGTTGATAATAGATTTGAATATTGGTATATTACAAAATATATACAAAATAGACTGTCACTATACAATTTATATACAATAGACTGTCACTACACAAAACATATACGAAAATAAACTGTCATTATACAAAAAATATACTAAATAGAATGTCACTATACAAAATAGACTGTCACTATATAAAAATATACTAAATAGACTATCACTGTACAATTTATATACAATAGACTGTCACTATACAAAATAGACTATCACCAACAAAATATATACTAAATATACTGTTACTATACAAAAAATATATAAAATAGACTGTCACTTATACAAGTTAGACTATTGATATACAAAAAATATACAAAACGGATCGTCACTATACAAAAAATATACAAAATACACTAAAAAATACAAGATATACTTATATACAAAATTTACTGCCATTATACAAAATATATACTAAATAGACTATTACTATACAAAAATATACAAAATAGACTGTCACTACAAAAAATATACAAAACAGACTGTCAATATACAAAACAGACTATCAATATATAAAAAATACACAAATTACACTGAAAAATACAAGATACACTTATATACAAAATTTATACAATGTGTATATAAAATATTTAATACATTGTATAACTATATATATATATATATATATATAACTATATATATATATATATATGTATGTATATCATCCAACTACCCCATTAAATCCAAACCCACCATCGATACTCACTGTGAAGTTCTTCACCCACAAAACACTATTATGACCGAAGAAGAAGAAGAAGAAGAAGAAGAAGAAGAAGAAGAAGAAGAAGAAGAAGAAGAAGAAGAAGAAGAAGAAGAAGAAGAAGAAGAAGCTTGACTAGAAAACCCCACGACTTTTGTTGCCACTCTTGTATCATGCATCGTAATTGAGTAAATCTTTTTAATAATTGAATTGAAAAAATTTGTGATTTTTCCAGGCACTCAAACAAATTTTTCCAGTGAGAAGTAAAAAAAAATAAAGAGAAAAAATATAGATCTGAAATGGGAGATAGAGAAGGGAAGGAAAATGAAAAAAAAATCAAAAAAAGATAAAAGGAAGACGAAGAAGACACAGAGAAAGAAAGAGGGTAGGAATAAAAATCGTAATGAAAAAAACAATCTGTGCATTGGATAGAATGAAAGAAAGATAAAAAGGAATGCATTGGATAGAGTGAAAGAAAGATAAAAAAGCTATGATTAAATGTTGTCTTGGGAAGATAAATGCATTGGAAATAGATAATGGCTACAAGTTGCAAATAAATTGGGCCGAAAGGCCATTTCCTGTGAGTGGGTAAAAACATGGGCTATTAAAATTTTGAGAGGCCATAGAGGGTAGTTTTCTCATCAAAGAATTTGCTATAACCGTTTAATTATTGTGTGATTTCCATAGTATTAAATACGGTAAATTAAATTGGTAATTCTAAATTGATTTGTTGAATGACTGCACACATATTCTTTTTAGATTTGGTAGTCATGACATTTGTCTTCTAATAATATTGTGTCTGATGTTTTTTCTGTACCTTTCTTTTCAAGCAAATAACGAGTATCTTGTTTTAGAATGAACCATCATCAACATTTTGAATTAGTTTGATCTCTTTAAGTTGCTCTTTTTTGTTCGACTCTGAAAAATCGATTTCATGAATCACGATTACAAGTTTGGCCGATAGAATATAAATTTAAAGAATAATACATGAAGTAGCCGGACCGCACAAATTCGAAACCAAAAAGTGAAAAATCGAGTCATACTCGATTTATTTCGATACTGTATTAGTATGACATTTTTAAAACCAAAAAGCGTAAATAAAAAAAAAAAAGGATAACCCGGTGCGAAAAGCATCCCGCATTCACGCAGACGCACCCCAAGGGTGTGTGATGTAGGCAGCCTACCCTGATGCAAGCATTAATGGCTGATTCCACGGCTCAAACCCGTGACTTATAGGTCACACGAAGACAACTTGACCGTTGCTCCAAGGCTCCCCTTCAAAAAGGTAAATACCAAACCGAGATCTTTTAAAACCGTACCAAATCGACCGATGAACACCCTTAGCTCAGATTAACATTTAAGGAATTAGGACACAAATGTAATCACAATAGCAGTACAAATTAAAAAGTAGAAGCAACATAACTATTTTTCAAGGTGAATCATGGAAAGGATATGTTTATCTTAAGATAACTTGATATCATGTACAGATAATGGGGAGTTTAATATTGTCCATAATTCCAATCCCTTAGAGATCTGCTTTGCCAGCAACTTCCTCATCACTGGAGGCATATTCTTCTTCACTCACCTCTTCATCACTAGATTTTTCTTCAGGTACAGCCCCAGCATCTTCACTCTTCGCGTACTTTTCGCAATACTCTGAAAATATATCTTATACCATAAGTAATGAGGAAATTTAAACTGGTGTAAATTTTTTGATAATTTGGAAAGAAAGGCACGTAACCTCAACACAAGGTTGAATACATCAAAAATATACTATAGGCAGTCGAACTTTTTCAACCGGTATAGAAAAGATAAAGAGCAAAAACAGCACCAAAAGGTGTTATAACAGCATCTAACCAGTCCAGCTGCTCAATTCTTCAACAAAATAAAGCATTTGGATAAGGAAGTAGAAAAATTTGTATCTAATGGACAATTAGGGAAGCAATCAGTAGAAACAAAGGAAAACAATAGCTGTTGAGTTTCGTTAAAGTGGAGATCTGTCTTCAAATGATTCAAGAAACGTTCCGGTAAAGACATAGTCCCTTTACAGCCAACACGTCAAATGCATAAGCGAAATAATATAACTTAATTAGTGGAAGAAATGCTTCCAACCTTTTTAACCAATGAAAGTTCTGAGTTCGTGCTTATAGCTGCTTTCGCTAAATTGTTTTAAGCCCTTTCCATCATAACCCCCTAATAGTGTGTGCACCTGGTAGAAAAGATCCGGGGAGGTGGAGAGTTAGGGATGGGAGCAGATGAGAAGAGACAAAGTTGGGGCCAGAAAAGCAGTCGTCGTTCCCAAGTAGCCAAAGGCATAGCATCAACATTATAGTAAAATTGAAGGACACATCAAGAACTCAGAATATTGGCAACTGTGAACTGCAATTGGGCGTTAACCAAAATCATTCAGTTAAGGATAGAAATCTTTAGCCCTGGTATTGAAGGTCAAGGTCATGCAGAATGTGTACCCTGAAGGACCACTGGCGGATGCCAGAAGCCACTTTATTTCACAGTAGGTGTGTGAGTGTCTCTCTGTGGGGGGTGGGCCCAAAACTACACATTTGCATATAGATGACATTTTGCAGGTTTTGAGCTTTCGTTTTGGACGTAAAAGAGAGTTCCAGTCATGTGTGGATTAGAGGCAGTAGCTAAGAGTAACAAGAACACATCGATAACAAGGAAAACCTGCAAAGTTAAGCTAAAGGCAACAAGATGGCTAAATATCCTATTTAAAGTTGAATTTAATTCCAAATCTAGCAGATACATTTGAATGAGAACTACGGCCGTAAAATAAGTTTTTTTTCTTAAGTTTCTAACCACATGAAAGGATATATGGACATAACATCATCTGTCTCTCTAACACCAACATCTGATTCAAAAACTTAAATAGATTATGATTTTGTTTCGCCTTTCAAACTACATCTTGTCTGCTAACTCACTCAACACAAATGAAGCAGTTCCCTTGGTTTTCATTTGCCACCAAGACATTGTAGTAAGTACCTTCACAAAGGCAATCATATTAACACCAAATTGTGAAACTCTGTACCCTTCCACTGAGCATCCAACAGCCCCTAACTCACCGCACTCAAGTTACCTTCAAATTCCATGTGCCACACAATTCCTTAATCGACCATTATCCTACACCATCTATACATGTGTAAACTGTCCCAAACAAGCCGCATACGTCCTGACCTTCAATGTCATATAGCAAACCTATTACTTAGAGCAGATATATTAAAATCATTCGTCTATTCCATCTATGAGATAGCAATTTGCAACATTTAGTAGCTGCCGATGTGGCATTCATGTCTCTAGTAAAACCATAACCTACTCTTACCTTGAGTCTCCTTTAGCACAACCTACATCCATGATCACATGCTCAAAAAACCTACACGCTTCGTTGCACCCTTGCACATAGTACTTAGGTGCTTGTACGTACAGAGATTGCATCTTCTTGTCCGTCTCCTGACCACAGTAGCGCCTGCCATGGACTATGGCCACAAAACAGGTTGGGAGGCTAGCATTAGCATATCCACAGCCCGTTTCATGTGGCAGGGCTTCAACCTAGACTAGCTAGCTTGCTCGTAGCACACATACATACAATGTGCACATATACATATATACACATACACATGCAATATTGGGTAAGCACCGCGTATAAAATATGTTATGATGAGCACTGAGGATCTCTTGCTCTTTCCATCTTTCAGCTGGGCCCAACTACATGAAATCAATGGTCCATGGGCACTTTCTTTGCTGCATTGACCAGATCTTCATCAATCAATGATTTTACAGCATTATGGTGATAGGCGATACCATCTACTATCAACTATGCCTCAATCCCAAGCTACGCGAAGTCCTCTACATGAATCACTATTGATAACTAAATTTGTCTTTACGGCAAATTATGAGTTCTCTAAAACTAGACATTGTCTATATCATACATATTCCTATACTAACATACAAGTCTTTATGGGTTATCAAAAATCATACAAGTCTTTATTTATAAATAAAAAAAGGGATACAAGTCAAACCAAATTAAAAGTATTCCTGGCAAACACCAATTATTCTACCCAAAAGGTTCAGGAAAAGCTTTCAAATATATCACACGAGCTTACTCAAGCTAACACATTACATCACATCCTAAGCGTGCAAACAAAATTTGGCGATAGGGAAGGCAACTAAAATATGTATATGTTCCATTCAGGGCATCACACAAGTCAAATCCACTGCGAGTGCTAGATTGATAATTTGAAGGTTTTTACCTTTCACCCTTTGATCATAAGTAGTACGATCACGCATCATGAGAGCTGCAGCCTCGCCATTCAGAGGATCTGATGGGTTAGGATATAGAAGAAGTTGGGGAAGAAACACTTCAAAAACATTTACAAGATCTGCAAAAATGTAAAAGATAAACATGAATTGTTGAACCCAAAAGTATCACTTGAACGAGCAAAAGAATCTTAGAAGCACGAAGAACTGTAGAATGCCAAACTACCAAACATGGGGCTCCAGGTCTGATTGATAACATCTAAGCAGACTGAACCTGACCTGTAAATTTAAAGAACACGAAAATGTATATTAGGATGACGTGTCTTTCACAGGTGTGGCATTAAGTGCCAGAAAATGAACTAATAAGCAAAGATATGTTGCAGAACCACTCACATTTCATCAACATTTGGATGGTAAATCCTATTAACAAAACCAATGGAAGGTGACTTGTAAGGATAGGCATCAGGGAGCTCTACTCTCACTTTCCACACACCTCCCTGATAAGGACCTATTGTAAGCATCAAGAATCAACATTGTTAGAAACAAGTAAAGACGGCTTTGTGATCAAACTTCCAAAAACAATCTCAATAATCAAGCAGCTGACACTAATCAACAATCTCGCACACTACCACTGCAGCCACAGTAAACTATAACAACAAAAAAAAAAAACAGTGAAATCCCACAAGTGGGATCTGTAGAAGGTAATGTGTACCTAGACCTTACTCCTATCTTATGAAGGTAGAGAGGTTGTTTCCGATTGACCTTCGGCTCAAGAACAGTGAAAAGGAAGCAATAAACAAATAATAACCACAAGGTAATAGGACAACCGAAGCAAATGGCACAGCGTGTAATAACAAAGATCTAGGAATACAAAAGTACAAGAATAGTGCCAATACTACTTGTAAGAATGACACCGTGTAATAACAAGGAACTAGGACAGTAAAGTATAAAATACATAAATCTAATCCAAAGACAGACATAGAAACACGGTTCTTAATTTGCAATCTTAAAAATAATTAAATTGAGTAAGAGCAACAAAACAACTCCAAAAATTCTTTATCAAATGTAGTTCAAACGGCTAATTCTCAAGTGAACATAAATTAATGTGATCAGTACTCTACAACAGGAATGAAATGACATGAATAGAGTTGGAGCAAATACAAGGGATTCATATAGCTGACCCCAACTAGTTTAGAACTGAAGCATATTTGATGGACTGATAGTGCTCAACAACATAACATGAACCAAAATATTCACAGAAAATCAAGTTTTTTGGGTGCAAAATTGAACTTCACAACAACCTACTTTTTCTTCTCTGTAGTGGAAGTTCGTATCTTTACAGCTAAATCAGTGACATATAAGTTAAATACAGCTAACCAATAAATGACCAAAGCCAGAATCAAGAAAAAGAAACCTAGCTAAGATAAAAAAAAAACATAAATATGCATTTGCACACAAAAAAATTAACCAAAAATGAGCAAAAAAAAATGCGTAAAGAAACAGAATTTACTCTCTTTGGGACCATGAAATTCCACATAGAACTCTTGCATTCCATCATTGATCATTTCTACTTTGTAATCAGTCATCATCCTATTTTTTCACAAAAACAAATACCCATTTAAACACAAATAAAACTAAAAATACCCCCATCAAAAAAAGATTAAATTTTGAGTTAAAAATTTACAGTTTCATCAAGTCCATTTCTCTGCGTTTGGTAGGGGAAGACATGATTTTGATTACTCCCTTTTTCTTTTTTCTTTTCTTTTTCCTCTTGCGCTTTTACAGATTGAAAATTAACAGCAATTAGGATTTGGGAGTATGGGTTTTATTTTAGGTGTATATATAGGTGTGAGAAGTAAGAGGAAACGTAGAGAAATTCTTCAGAGAGTTAACAATAGGGCGGTTTCAGACATGAATGATCAAAAGGAGGGACTTCTTGTGTTATTTTTTCAGTGGCTAATTTACACTTTTGAGTCCTTGTACTATTAATGTCTTTACACTTTTGACCCTCTTCGCTTTTTCATTTTTTAATCAAACGTATTACATTTTGTTTTTCTTGAAATTGTGAAATGTCAAAGCATAAAATAAATCAAATGACTTGGGACGAAAGTAAAGTAATAGATAACAAGAATTAATTAAAAGGTGCATAAAATCCGGTTAAACATGAAAGTTACTCAAGAAATTTAACTTTTTTAATTTTAAGATAGTAAATTTCTTTTGTTGCTAGTGGCTTTGATATCATTTGTATCAAGTCAAGTTTTCAAATTGTCGATGTGAGATATTGTCTAAAATCTGGGGTATTACAACATTATTATGGAATAGAGAGAGGAAAAAAAAACAAGCTAAATAATACATTCTTAGTTTTTTATCTCTTATTTATTTTTAGGATAGGAAACACACTAATAATTAAGAAGGAGTGTAGCAAATGCATATACACCAAGAACTCTATATTTATATGCACCAAGAACCATTTCTTACTTACATACGCTATACAAATTCAAAATAAAAATAAAAAACAAGAGAACTAGAGTTAGAAAAAAAGAGAAGCATAACAAAATGAGCGCGTCAAGTTCATCAAACATTTCCAATGTATAGAAGCGTATCTACGGATGCACGAACCTCAATTGGTAATACTGCAAGAGTGCGAAACGCACATCAAATGGAAAACTAGCACTAAACATGAAAATTTGATATTACTACGAGACAAAGAACACATCAACTGTGATATATCTTTTAGATATCACAAAGAAAATGCCGAATGGATTGACAAATATATATCCGCAAATATCCAGCTGGTTAAATATCTATCGGTTAAGTTCAAATTTCATGGAGTTTATGAAGAACTAACTTGTGGTCTAGATTTAGAACAATTAAAATTGACACCACATCATGAGTCACGTAATAAGTTATATGGTACATCATGACTTATGATCGTGGGATGCTAATCTAACCCCCCATCAGAGAGAAGCATCAGATCTCCAAATACAAAAGAGCAGATGAGTAACTTCATCAATTTTACGGCTAGCCCCGGTATAAGGGGTGTTCATAAGAACCCGAAAATCGAACCAAACCGACCAAAAAAATCGATACTAGTGCATGTCTCATATTTAAGAAAAAAAACGATAAGTAACCAAAAAAATCGAAAAACCGGCATAAACGGAATCGATAAAAACCGACTCAATTGTTTTGGTTTGATTCAAATATTTGAAAAACCGACTTATTTGGTTTGGTTTCTTTTTAGGGAAAAATCGACCTAAACGGAACCATGAACACCCCTTGTTGCCACTTATTAGAGAAAATAAATCATGAGTTTTAAAAATTGCTATATTAACCATCAATACAATATATAGACTATATCTAAAAATATATAATAGCAGCTATTTTTTTTTTAAATCAAATTTTCGTGTATAATAAAATGCTAGCTTTGTGAGAGTGCATTTAAATTCTCAAGAGACAAAATTCTTATAGAAAATAAAATTACAAATAGGATAAATATATCATATCCAAATCAGACGTAACCATGGAAAAATTGTTGAGTATTAACCTTTTTGAAAAAAATCCTAACATGTATTTCAATTTCACTATCCATAGAGCATAAATTAAATTACATGTCAAAGATTTTATAATATATTTGAAACCATATATAAAACGGACAATTCGTACAAAGCATGCCGCATTCATGTAGGGTCCAGGAAAGAATCGTATCCTTACGAATATGATGTAGACAGCCCTATTACAAGTCTCGACGACTGCTTTCAAAACTCAAACACGTAATTATGTCACACGAAAACAATATAATTTCATTTTTTTTTTTAGCCCGAGGCATTAAGAAAGACTACAATTTACTAGGCGTACTGCCTTTAGCACCTAGACATGTGGCATTGCCACCATTACACAATCTTGAAATAATTCCAATACAATATTCCTCTATCACCTATGAAAATATTATTTATATGTTTATTGTTCCCATTGTAGTGAGCATAATTGAGTTTTCCAACAAAAGTAGACATTGGATAAGTAGCACAAATAAAAAAAGTAGAAGGACGCTAATTACTTTTTCTGTCTCAAATTATATATCGGGATTTCTGAAACTAGCTGTCTCAAATTATTTATCATTTCAAAAATTCAAGACAAAATTAATTTTTTTTTCTCATTATACCATTAGTAGTAATAGTTCTCGAAGATGAAGATAGCACAAAATAGAATAAATATTCAATGAAGAAAGATTATATCATAAGACATAAATAAGGGTAAAATAGTAAAAAAATCCTTCTAATAAATATTTCTTAAGGGTCATGTAAAAGAGAAACACGACAGATAATTTGAAACGGGGGAGTAATAAGTTAGGAGATGAAGAACTGTGGAGACACAGGGAATTGAAAATTTGTACTCTTTTTTGGTTTTTTTCTTTTTGGTTGGGTTTACCCACCCAGTCTCTAATATCCATATTAAAGTCCGACTAATTTAAGACGCATTTAAAGGTTAAGCACTCCCTAATGTTAGGTATGGTCTCAAGCCTACAAATGTTAGAATAGTCTGAATCTGCTCAGAGACACTTTAAAATCATGATTTGAATTATTGAATATTTTCACATTTTTGCGAAATGTAATGTTTCTTAAATATTGTTGAGGAGCATAATTACAAATTGTATTCAGTAGTGTGTATTTGAGAGATTGTCTTTGGGCATAGGAGTGTAAGGAGATTAACTAATCATTAACATATATATAGTACGAAAAAATTAGAGTCTAACAAGAGCAGTTAATAAGGATTAGTGTGGATCACTTAAGGCTCGTGATATATCTTAATTTTGTGGGTTAGATAATTATAGAGTCAGTTCTTAATATTCAAAAGTAAATATATAATTATTCTCAGAGACCTATTATTTCAAGCGTGATACTGTTACCCCACGAGTGCATATTGCAATTGTTCCATCTTCAATTTAAGACGAAAAAAAAAAAACTAATCACAAATTCATGATGATATCTTTAAAATCTTTCTTGTTCATATATTGATTTAGAATTATCAAAAATTGAATCTATTCTTTGAAAAATGTGACAGTATTGTTTTTAAGTGGCAAGAGTATGATAATTAATTTCTACAACTTTGAGGAAAAGTTTATATGTAGTTTCAACAATTGATTATAAACCTAAAAGACACACAAATTGTAAAAGGAAACCGTTATGAACAATAAAAGAAGATGAAGAATATTGCAGAGAAAAGTAGGGAGAGAATTCTTATTGAATTTTGGGATACAATAGAATAGAACCCTCTATTTATAGGGAGAGGGTGGTTTAGCCACCAAGCAATGAACCCTAGAATCTCTCTAAATATAGACATTCACCATAAATATAATTGTAATTATAACACTCCCCCTTGAATGTCTATTCAACAGATAATGTGCCTCGTTAAAACCTTAACTAAAATAAAACCCAGTGGGAAAAAAATTCTAGAGAAGGAAAAAGAGTACACATATCTAACAATACGCCTTTTGGTTGCCTCGTTAAAAACCTTGCAAGGAAAACCCAGTGGGACAAAACCTTGTAAGGGAAAAAGAGTACAACGCGTATTAACTCCCCCTGATGAGAGCATCAATTCACATCCTTGAGCATTTGCATTCCAATCTTGTGCACCATCTTCAAAAGATCTTTGGTAGAGATTTCATGAACAAATCAGGCATATTAACTTGAATGAATATATTGCACCTTGAAATCATCATTCTTGATAGAGATGAATTGTCTTCATATGATCTTGTTGGAATCGTCAGTTCAATATCTTCACATAGAGGTGAAAACTCTTGCTATCATATTATCATGCATATAGTTATAGCAAGATACATTTGTGTACAAATTGCATTGAGGATGTAGTACTTCATGACCATGAATTCTATATGCTTTAAGCAATTTAAATGCTTCAGGGATTGTTAAGTCATATAAGCCATATAATAGACTTTAGATGCATATCAAGTTTTCATGTCATGCTAGACATATAAGATACCGAAAACTGATTGCACATATCATTGACTTTATACTTTCAAGTGTTTGTACTACATGTCCAAAACTACATGTCTTTCATATGAAACCAATTCTATTTGAATTGTTTCTCTAGATTTAAGATCCTCATATATATTTAGCGCTATTATAGATGTCGTCGACAAACATTTTATATCGGTTCCAACCTCCTTATTTTTCATAAAGACATAACATAGAGATCTCTTCATTCATATATTCAGGTACCTGAATCTCTCATGAGATTTTATGAAGTGTTATGTCATGTGATCTTCTAGATCACTTGCCTCCTTTATTATGATCATTTAGATCATTTGCTCATCTTCTTTATCAAGAAGTTTATTTGAAACCGACTTGTCTATATGCTTCAAGCATACCACAGACTTTGTCCTTCTAGGACTTAATAGGAGCATTTGCAATGAGAATATAGTTACTTTCTTTGGGTCAGCAAATGCTTCTGGCATGCTTTGCAATATATTGCAACTGAATTATCCTTTTATGAACTTCAAGTTCATATTATCTTATTCGAGGATCTAGATGTACAAGTGATAATTCATTTCACGTAACCTTTTCTTAACTGTTTATTATGTCTCCCCCTCATGTTAGAAAAACTAACTTGCTTTCTCAACTTTGAGAACCCATCTTTGTGCGTTATGGTGTTAATCAAAATATACACCGCACATCAATAATAATAAGATGGAATTATTTGGTTCCTGACCATGAACCACTTGTGAGGGGAGAAATTAATATACTTTCGTATATAACGTATATCAAACTGATATATAAAACTTTATTCTCATAAGCAATTGTTTAGCTATTAAGTGGAGGCACTTAATAAATTATTTTGCTAAATCAGCTGTGATGTAGACCAACTTATCAAGATGAACTTCTTGAATAGAAA